TCACTTCAAATATCTTATACAAAATCAACGGCTTCTAAAAATACCAACCAATCAGAAACGTCAATCTGTATCTTAGCCTTCTAAGGCTAAGTGGATACAGATCCTGATATCACCCTAATCATTGAAATGTCAAGCAAACTGAGATGTTGAAGTGACGCCACCCGTCTCTAAACTACATATATGTACTATCAAACTTATATATTTCCTACCAAACAGAGATGCTGAAGTGACGCGACACGTGTCCTAACTACTATCAAACTTATATATTTCCTACCAAACAGAGATGCTGAAGTGACGCGACACGTGTCCTAACTACTATCAAACTTATATATTTCCTACCAAACAGAGATGCTGAAGTGACGCGACACGTGTCTTAACTACTATCAAACTTATATATTTCCTACCAAACAGAGATGCTGAAGTGACGCGACACGTGTCTTAACTACTATCAAACTTAAATATTTCCTACCAAACAGAGATGCTGAAGTGACGCGACACTATCAGACTTATACATTCCCTTTGAAATATGCTGAAGTGGCTTGAGACTGGTGTCTTTACTACCGTCAAACTATCGTTCCCTTCGATATTAAGAAAGTTTGTCCTATGCATTTGCTGCCGCTGAACGGGGATATAAAATGTTTGCATGTCCTGTCAAACAATACAAAGCTACAAGTAGAACGGGTTGATATCGCATCCCACTTATGATATTCATGGCGACGAAAGGACTGGCAAACTACACGTATCAAAGAAAGCACTAAATCACAACACAATTGATATCAATGTCAATCTTACCCAAAAAAAGAAGCTATGCTTTGATCAATAAAAGATAATATAAAAATAGGGTAGAATTCGGAGAGCCCTGAGTAATTTCAACAACATGGGCCAAATTATAGTAAAACGTTTTAGAAAGATTTAGAATACACAAAACAAAATTTCTGTCTCAAACATTTAACAGCCAGGACAGAACTTTTTAAGGAATTAAATAGTTATAAAATTCTTATAATTTCCACCAATGAGATTTATCTTCACTGGATAAGCTGGGCGCATTGATCACAACAAAATAATTAGATATTTGAAAACTATAGAATTTTACTACAAAATACAGCAACAGACACAGCACTGAATTACAAAGGTGATGTCAGCAGGATTTGGAGGTTTGGGTCCATACCTAAGGCTCTATATGGGACGAAGTAGGGTTCCTCTCATTAATTGGTGCATACTGACAAAAGGTCTGAGGTGTCATTCTCTGTGCCCCATCCTGCATATTTACATTTGTAAAAATAGTTTACAGATACAACGAAGACAGCTTTGTCTCCTTTAGGGTTCCAATCAGAATGCTCACTGTCGAAAATGTTTACTTAAATTAACTTACAATTAACAAAAAACTTCACATAATATACAACACACTATTGCACAGGTAAGGGTAACAGAATGGATACTCGGGTTCATACACAGGGCGCTGTAAAGGACAAAGTAAAGCTCCACTTCCGATTATCTGAAAATGACGCAGTATTGCACAACCACATAGATATTTTACACAGCACCACCACCACATTGACTTATATGGCTCCAGGTAGGTGAAACCATGCCTTTAACATGGAACACTGTAGACTTGCATTAGTCATTTTGCTGAGAACAACTGATAAACCCACATAGGTCTCCACATGGTTTTGTGTGCTTCAGGTACTCTAATTTACCATCTTAAGTGAAGATCTGATTTATCACATAAAACACACACTTCACATATTAAAAAACAAAATATCAATACAATAAAACATAACACCTCACTGAAATTAGACAGGTTTTGTGTATCTAACTGCTTAGTCACCTCACCAGGTGCACTCGTTTACCATCTTAAGTGAAGATTTGTGTTATCACATAAAACAAACACAGTAAACACACAATATCAGTCAAATAAACACAACAGTAACTCACCTCCCCAATAAAGGTTACAATATGAAATAGGACTCGTACGTTAGGAACGACAGGCGTAATGAACCCCCTCCTTCCAGACCCCCCCCCCCACCCCCACCCCCACCCCCCCCCCCCAAAAAAAAACAAAAAAACAAAAACCGAACAAACAAATAAAACAAAAATAGAACCCGTACTCGATCTTTATCCTCCGCATTTTTTATCCTCCGTAAAACCTATCAGTCCTCCTCTCCTTCTCCATCTTTTACTTTTAAAGAAGTCTATTTCTTAAACCACTAAGTAAACCTTACTTACACCTCCAACTCCGCCCAATACTAACCTTACCACCACAATCATAAACAAATAAATGTCGAAATGCGAATGGTTACGTAATGCCAGGAACGGCTTAGAATAACAGAAATGTGGACATTGTTAAAGTGACCAGTTTTCATTGTGGCAGACAAAAAAGGAGAAGTAGACTTACACACGGACGCTAAAAAGATATCAGCACCAAAATCTAACAAACAACTAACCACTAACACTCCGTCCATCGGATGGGACTTAAAATGGTGGCCCGTGTGAGCATGTCCAACTCACACGAAAAAAGATACCGCTGTGGTTCTTCGAAAAAGGGTATACGTGACAACGCCGACTCAGAGGATAGGCTTTGATTAATAATTGGGACTATCTATCAAGAAAGGAGGAGTGCCAGTTCGGGCCTTCTTGTGGCCATGACGAATACTTTTTATGTTTTGTCTATTAAAAACTTGAGGTCAGGCGGTAATGACATGACATTAATCTAAGGTCAGCTCAAGGCTGTTCAGTTGTTATAGGGGAACGAGTGGGGGATCAAATTCATAATCATTGCAATAATTATCAAACTAAAATATTTTTTTTTTAGTTTTTTTTCTTCTCTTAAATGTCATTTAATGATATATTTCAAAACCTTCTTTAGAAAAAAAATGACCAAAAAATATGCCATTGTTGAAAAGTAGGTCACGGTAATTAAGTGCCCTAATTACTAATTAAGTCACACTTGAGCACCGTTTTTTGTCTTCATGCATCTATAAACAATACGTTTATAAAATAAGTATAAAAAAAATATGGAAATTCATATAGTGTAGTATCCACTTCCCCTTTCTCTCGCTCCTTAATCGGTCCTCTTGCTGCGACGCACCTAGTTAGTGTTAGGTTAGTGCTATAAGTAGGCCAAGGAGGTAGTCTAAGAACATGGTAATATATATGGCCCATCTCTGCCTACTTTTTGTGTCCCAATCTCTACCATCGTTTCATACTTTTTCCTCTATATACTCACTTTCCCCTTTTCTCGTCCACTGAAAGGCCGAAATATCGTATTGGTGGACGTATAACCCGTTAAATAAAATAAAATAAAATAAATAAATAAATAAATAAATAAATAAATAAATAAATAAATAAAAGTTTCTGCAAACAAGTTAAGTCTTTTGGTTAAATACATTTTCACAAACTTGGCGCTGTTGACCTTGGATATGAGGTAAGTTTACAGTTAACATTTTGATGAAGTAAGTCGAACTTAATCCCAAGAATCTAAATGCCAAGTATTGAATTATATGCCTCTTGGTTAACCACAGAATATCATTTTGTTTTAATAAATTTAGCACCTGTGAATATGGGTCAAGGTAATTGTTCGCAATTTTTTCAGCTTCATCTTGGAGACCTGCCAGTCAAACATTATGACTCAGTGTAACATCCTAAAACTTTCGTTTTCGTGAGTCTGAATCGTTTCTAAGAAAAAATTGCTGCATCACAGCATAATGAACTGAAAACTGTACAGTATATGCATTCAAAGGGATAATTTATAAATTTTAGTGAAAAATGACATAAAAACATGGATCACGATTTATGATATTTCATGCAGCCTTTAAAAACACAAATATATTTTCTTTGTTTTCTTTGTACTTCTTAATAAATATTTAAACTCTAATTTTGATTTCGATGTACATAGTTCTCTTACATGCCGATGATTTAGCCTATCTGATGATTTCACCAAGCTCTACAATGTATATTTATTAACATAATAGGTTATATAAATACTCATAATAAAACAATTAAGAATGAAACAGTCTTGGCATTGGGAGCGAAATGTTGTGGTGCGAACAGTGCTAGTGGCAAACCGGGTTGGGAGCGAAACGCCTTTACATACAAAATTTATTCAGATAAAATTAGTAAAAAATAAACAGCATTATAAAAATATAATAATTTTATTTCATATACAATATGTAAAGTTATAGCATCTAGCATTTTGTACCAAGAACTTCTGATTTTGAATAACAGTGGTGAATTGTGTGGTTTGAATATGTAAGATAAGTTTAAAATGTTTGTCTTGAAAGGGAGAGAATTCTGGGCAAATTATGCTACGAATTAAAATTGAGATGTAGAAATTAAGGGAACATGTTCAATTACTTTAACTGAAATAAAATTATACCCGTGAATATTCATATTTTTTTCATAACCTCGTATACTAGGACATTACGAAAAATGGTGTCGATCCGGACAATGCTCTGTCCATTCCGGTTTCTGTGTAAATGCTTACACAGCATTGTTAACTTCCGGATCTCAGCTGTTACCGTTCATCACAACTCTGCTCCGGACAGGTATATTTTTTCTGGTGAGACTTTGACACTTCTTGTCATGGTGCTATCATATGTATTCATAGCTGGTACCCGGTGGTTAGTCCTATACTATCTGATACTAGTTTCGAAGATTCATATCGAGATAAACGTTTATTTTCGGATATCTACTGTTTAATGTTCATGTTTGTGGTTCGAAAATCAATAATATAAATATTAAATATCTGAAAATAAAAAAAAAAACGAAAACCAGGATATGAACCGTCGAAGGCATATATTATAGGACTTAACTGGAGATCGATCCGGCATAAGTTAGAATAAATTTTGATGAATGCTTTATTTAACGTTTCGCATCAATTGATCACGGAACAATATTGTCAATATCATTAATTCATAAGAGATTGATTTTTAAAATTATTTGCATATCATTTCATTGTAGTGTTGTTGACTTTTCGTCAGAGCTGTGTGATACACATCAACATGGAACGAGATTCGCGAGGTGGGGTTAGTCCACGGACACTGCCCGAGCCACAGAGGGTTGAGGTGAGAACCTTGTTTTCAATAGGAAATACGCATACGAATCTATAATAATCTGAAAGATTTGTGTTTGACACACTGGTTCAGTGATATAGAAATTTGATTCATCAATGCTGTCCTTAAATTATGATCTTTTTTGTTCACTGTTTGTCATTTTGCATCAGCAGCTTTCAGTTTACAGGTACATTTTGTAATCAGTCACAACGTGCCTGTCATATTGTATATGGTAAATTGTGTAATATAATATTTTTGAGATAAGCTATTCTGTGCAATGAAATGCATTAATAAATATTGATGTAATGTACATGATTGTATATTAACAAGCAACATGTCTATAGTTAAATAAATGCATGGTTGGTATAATGTAAGGTGTACCTATTCTCTGATGTCCTATACATTGACAAGGTTTGTCTGCCATGAGCATGGCTACAGAGACAAGGAAATTGATTGTAACTAAAACGATCAGTAAAATACGACTAATTATATAACAGCATTAATGGCTACCACGGACAACCTCCCAACAGTACCGTAAGATCAAGTATAAATGGAGTGTTATGTAACTTGTGATTGTACATTAGGGTGACGGCTCCCCTCTGCCGAGCAGTCTAGATGAAAGCAGGAGGAACCCACAACGTGTCCAAGCAAAACCATTTTCCATTAGCTTTGAGGTTGACATCATCCAATTAGTACTCACCATCGTATCAATGGCCACTCGATTCTGGCTACTAGGCTTACCAAGGGCAGTTGTGTAAGTATATTGGTAGAAAAAGGTGTGTGGTAGAAGAGAGTGAGATACTCTGGATTCTGGCTACCAGGCTTACCAAGGGTAGTTATGTAAGTATATTGATGGGGAAAGGTGTATGTTTGGAGAGAGCTAGGTACTTTGGATTCATACCACAAGGCTTAAGCTTACCCAGCATAGTTGTATAAGCATAAGTGCATTGGGGGACAGGTGTGTGTCGGTAGAGAGTTATCTATGTTGGATTCTGACTACCAGGGCTTACCCAGGGTAGTTGTATAAGCTCAAGTACTTTGAGGGAACAGGTGTGTGTCAGGAGAGAGTTAGGTACCTGGGATTCTGACTACCAGGGCTTACCCAGGGTAGTTGTATAAGCTCAAGTACTTTGAGGGAACAGGTGTGTGTCAGGAGAGAGTTAGGTACCTGGGATTCTGACTACCATGCTTACACAGGTGTATGTTGGGAAAAAATTAGATACTCTGGAATCTGACTATTAGGCTTACCAAGGGCAGATGTGCGAGTATATTGGAGGGAATATGGGTTTATTTTTGTAGAAGAGAAGTACTTACACACGTCTTACCTAGAATAGTGTATACAATACTCATATGTTGATGGTTCTTCTGTGTTTCAAAAAAATTTGTAGATAGTACACTTGTATATTCAATTATTGTACCATATTGTTAATGTAGTATATTTTGTTGTGTAAATAAACTTTATTTTTTTTAAATTTAGGTTTGATGAACTGCACTTTGCTAAGTTTGCCACCCTTTACATGAAGAAAATATTTTTCTTTGATGTTCACCCACCACTGGGCAAGATGCTACTGGCTCTCGTCTGTAAGTTTTGATTTAATATAACATAGATCTATACACAAGTAGATTTATTTCACTTGTAAAATAACAAAGGGTTTTGTGAAAGATTCCTTCTTCTCACTTGACTAGACTGTATGAGTTATCATACTCCTACGTAGTAATCAATTTGTCTGTGATACTATGTGTGCATCCATCTGTCCGCCCTTCAGTCTGTCTGATTGTCCATCCATGTTCAAGATCACTCGATCACTTGTTAATAAAAAGCTTGTGTAATAATTATCAAATGAAGTCCTCAACAGATTTAATTCAGAACCTCACCATAGCATGACAACACCAAGGGGTACACCTGATTAGATTTTGGTGCTCATTGGTCAAAGTTAAAGGTCAGAGGTCACCCTTGACTACTTTGGTACTTTAAGTAAAGAATTAGTACCCTTGTTGAAATTTTATGTCCATAGCATAATTTTGCTTTCATTCAACTAGGATAATGAAGCTTGGTCATGGGTTATACATTAGCTATACTGATGGAATGTGCAGTATACCAAATTCAGTGCTTGGAACCCCTTCATTATAGAATTTTTGTCATTTGTTGAATTTTGTATCCAATAAAAATTTTCAGGGAGTATTCATCAGTTTCAATGATACTCTTGTTTCTTACTTATGAAACTTCACAGATATTTACTTGCATGATATCAAAATATATGTCAGTAGTAGAAATTTGTTTGATCAAAATTTGAATTGCTTGAATTATAGCCCATTCATTTTTCTATTTCCTGCACCTTTTTTGAAAATTAAAAAAAAATCATACAACAGATTTGAATCTTTAAGTGAAGCAGTGCTTTTTTTTCTGGCAAATAACTTATCAGGATGACTTCAGACAACTCCATGTGTTGATCTTTGTGTAGTCTAGAAAGATTCTGACAGTCCTTGTCAGATGTAAATTATAGTCTACTTTTCCCTAGGATCACTTTTTAATATTTTGATGAAAGTTCTTCCTCTAGGTGAATTCTAGATTTGGTTTGTCTGTTTTTCTGTCAGGTGGATTTTGTGGATTTGACGGTGAAGCTAACTTTGCCAGGATTGGAGAAGGTAAAATATTATTCATTCATGCAAATGTTTATTACCCAACAGAAACACTTGATGAATTAAATTTGATTTGAAGGAGTAGAATTTGACAATAATTTGATGATGATGATGGTGTATGATATGTTATGATATGTGTCTGATATGATGGTGTATATTTTATAGAGTACCCAGTGACATTCCCTATATATGGTATATGTGTGAATGTTTTACAGAGTGACATTCCCTATATATGGTATATGTGTGAATGTTTTACAGAGTACCCAGCGACATTCCCAGTTTATCAACTCAGACTGTTGCCAGCTCTCCTCGGAAGCTTAACTGTGCCATTGGTGTACCAGATAGCAGTGGAACTTAGACTGTCTAGATGGGCTGCACTGTTGGCCGGAGCTTGTGTCCTTTTAGGTAAAAGCCTGCAAATTCTAACAATAAATTTGTATCGTAAACTTTTGATTCTGTATGAATTATAGTTGCTAGGAATTAGAAATAAGTTGATTAGTCCCCCAACGGGAACCAGGAGGGGGCTATAGATTTGCTGTCTTTACATCATTCTGGCCATCCTTCTGCTGCATTGTCTAGGTTCTCTCTCCTAGGGTCCTTGTCACTGGAACTTCATACTTTGGGTATGTGTTCACTTTGGTAAGGGTATGTGTCTTGTACCATAAAAAGGTCACTCTGTCATATATTTGACCTTTTACCTACATTAAAGAAAAAGTTTGTCTAGGCTTAATCTACTAGTGTTTTGAACTTCTTATGGGGTATGGATTCGTCTTGAAGAGGTGGTGTGTTGGTCTGGTAACACTAATTTGCTGAATCATTTTCTTTTATTTTCTTGTGTACTTCAGTTTTAATTTCAAAGATAAATGTATCTTGGTTTTAGAATTTCAAGCTCGATAATAATTGCCATAATTCTATTGCTGAAAATGTTGTTGTTCCACAGATAACGCTCTTCTCACCCAGTCCAGGTTCATGCTCATGGAGGGCATGATGGTGTTCTTTCTGTGTCTTTCCCTCTTTAGCTTTCTCAAGTTCAGGAACCTTGCCCATAAGTAAGTAATATTGGCTATTTTTGGAAATGTTTCTGTCAATTTAGGGAAGAGTATAATACATTGATTACACCACTGATTATTTATGTTGTAGGGAGTTTTCTATCCAGTGGTGGTTTTGGCTGTGCTTAACAGGTGTGGCCTGTACATGTACACTAAGGTAAGTTTGTGTATCTGTTGTGTTAGTGAGTTTGTGTACCTGTTGAGTTTGCGTACCTGTTGTGTTAGTGAGTTTGTGTATCTGTTGTGTTAGTGAGTTTGTGTACCTGTTGTGTTAGTGAATTTGTATACCTGTTGTGTAAGTGAGTTTGTGTATCTGTTGTGTAAGTGAGTTAGTGTATCTGTTGTGTTAGTGAGCTTGTGTACCTGTTGTGTTAGTGAGTTTATGTATCTGTCCTGTGAGTGAGTTTGTGTATATGTTGTGTTAGTGAGTTTGTGTACCTGTTGTGTTAGTGAGTTTGTGTACCTATTGAGTTTACGTACCTGTTGTATTAGTGATTTTGTGTATCTGTTGTGTAAGTGAGTTTGTGTTTGTGTATCTGTTGTGTTAGTGAGCTTGTGTACCTGTTGTGTTAGTGGGTTTGTGTACCTGTTGTATTAGTGAGTATGTGTATCTGTTGTGTTAGTGAGTTTGTGTATCTTTTGTGTTAGTGAGTTTGTGTATCTGTTGTGTTAGTGAGTTTGTGTATCTGTTGTGTTAGTGAGTTTGTGTACCTGTTGTGTTAGTGAGTTTATGTATCTGTCCTGTGAGTGAGTTTGTGTATATGTTGTGTTAGTGAGTTTGTGTACCTGTTGTGTTAGTGAGTTTGTGTATCTGTTGTGTTAGTGAGTTTGTGTACCTGTTGTGTTAGTGAGTTTATGTATCTGTCCTGTGAGTGAGTTTGTGTATATGTTGTGTTAGTGAGTTTGTGTATCTGTTGTGTTAGTGAGTTTGTGTATCTGTTGTGTTAGTGAGTTTGTGTATCTGTTGTGTTAGTGAGTTTGTGTACCTGTTGTATTAGTGAGTTTGTGTATCTGTTGTGTTAGTGAGCTTGTGTACCTGTTGTGTTAGTGAGTTTGTGTACCTGTTGTATTAGTGAGTTTGTGTATCTGTTGTGTTAGTGAGTTTGTGTATCTGTTGTGTTAGTGAGTTTGTGTATCTGTTGTGTGAGTGAGTTTGTGTATCTGTTGTGTTAGTGAGCTTGTGTACCTGTTGTGTTAGTGAGCTTGTGTACCTGTTGTGTTAGTGAGTTTGTGTACCTGTTGTATTAGTGAGTTTGTGTATCTGTTGTGTTAGTGAGTTTGTGTATCTGTTGTGTTAGTGAGTTTGTGTATCTGTTGTGTTAGTGAGCTTGTGTACCTGTTGTGTTAGTGAGTTTGTGTACCTGTTGTATTAGTGAGTTTGTGTATCTGTTGTGTTAGTGAGTTTGTGTATCTGTTGTGTTAGTGAGTTTGTGTATCTGTTGTGTGAGTGAGTTTGTGTATCTGTTGTGTTAGTGAGTTTGTGTACCTGTTGTGATAGTGAGTTTATGTATCTGTTGTGGGAGTGAGTTTGTGTATATGTTGTGTTAGTGAGTTTGTGTACCTGTTGTGTTAGTGAGTTTGTGTATCTGTTGTGTTAGTGAGTTTGTGTACCTGTTGTGTTAGTGAGTTTATGTATCTGTCCTGTGAGTGAGTTTGTGTATATGTTGTGTTAGTAAGTTTGTGTACCTGTTGTGTTAGTAAGTTTGTGTATCTGTTGTGTGAGTGAGGTTGTGTATCTGTTGTGTTAGTGAGTTTGTGTATCTGTTGTGTGAGTGAGTTTATGTATCTGTTGTGTGAGTGAGTTTGTGTACCTGTTGTGTTAGTAAGTTTGTGTACCTGTTGTGTTAGTGAGATTGTGTATCTGTTGTGTTAGTGAGTTTGTGTATATGTTGTGTTAGTGAGTTTGTGTATCTGTTGTGTTAGTGAGTTTGTGTACCTGTTGTGTTAGTAAGTTTGTGTACCTGTTGTGTTAGTAAGTTTGTGTACATGTTGTGTTAGTGAGTTTGTGTATCTGTTGTGTGAGTGAGTTTGTGTATCTGTTGTGTTAGTGAGTTTGTGTATCTGTTGTGTTAGTGAGTTTATGTATCTGTTGTTTATATCTTATTTATCTGTTCATGGTTTGACTGTTTCAGTATCAAGTATGTTGGATTTTTTACGGCCCTTATAGTGGTGACAATGATGGTCAAGGACTACTGGCACATGCTGGCAGATATCAGGATCAGTGATGTAAGTGACCAGGCTAGAAAAATTGATTGGCAAGCAAATCAATAAAAAAATTACAGGCCAAAATGTAGGTTCTTTTGGGTCATTGGACAATAATTTTGTTCGTGGTGTTACTGCTGGACATGGTAAAATCTTATTGTCCTTGGTGTTACAGCTAGACATGTTAAACACTTCTTGTCCTTGGTGTTACAGCTAGACATGGTAAACACTTCTTGTGATTGGTGTTACAGCTAGACATGGTAAACACTTATTGTCATTGGTGTTACAGCTAGACATGGTAAACACTTATTGTCCTTGGTGGTACAGCTAGACATGGTAAACACTTCTTGTCCTTAGTGTTACAGCTAGATATGGTAAACACTTCTTGTTATTAGTGTTACAGCTAGACATGGTAAACACTTCTTGTTATTAGTGTTACAGCTAGATATGGTAAACACTTCTTGTTATTAGTGTTACAGCTAGACATGGTAAACACTTCTTGTCCTTAGTGTTACAGCTAGATATGGTAAACACTTCTTGTCATTGGTGTTACAGCTAGACATGGTAAACACTTCTTGTCATTGGTGTTACAGCTAGATATGGTAAACACTTCTTGTCATTGGTGTTACAGCTAGACATGGTAAACACTTCTTGTCATTGGTGTTACAGCTAGATATGGTAAACACTTCTTGTCATTGGTGTTACAGCTAGATATGGTAAACACTTATTGTCCTTAGTGTTACAGCTAGACATGGTAAACACTTCTTGTCATTGGTGTTACAGCTAGATATGGTAAACACTTCTTGTCATTGGTGTTACAGCTAGATATGGTAAACACTTCTTGTCATTGGTGTTACAGCTAGACATGGTAAACACTTATTGTCCTTAGTGTTAGAGCTAGATATGGTAAACACTTCTTGTGATTGGTGTTAGAGCTAGATATGGTAAACACTTCTTGTGATTGGTGTTACAGCTAGATATGGTAAACACTTCTTGTCATTGGTGTTACAGCTAGATATGGTAAACACTTCTTGTCATTGGTGTTACAGCTAGATATGGTAAACACTTCTTGTCATTGGTGTTACAGCTAGATATGGTAAACACTTCTTGTCATTGGTGTTACAGCTAGATATGGTAAACACTTATTGTCCTTAGTGTTACAGCTAGACATGGTAAACACTTCTTGTCATTGGTGTTACAGCTAGATATGGTAAACACTTCTTGTCATTGGTGTTACAGCTAGACATGGTAAACACTTCTTGTCATTGGTGTTACAGCTAGACATGGTAAACACTTCTTGTCATTGGTGTTACAGCTAGACATGGTAAACACTTATTGTCCTTGGTGGTACAGCTAGATATGGTAAACACTTCTTGTCATTGGTGTTACAGCTAGACATGGTAAACACTTCTTGTCATTGGTGTTACAGCTAGACATGGTAAACACTTCTTGTCATTGGTGTTACAGCTAGACATGGTAAACACTTATTGTCCTTAGTGTTACAGCTAGACATGGTAAACACTTATTGTGTTACAGCTAGACATGGTAAACACTTCTTGTCATTGGTGTTACAGCTAGACATGGTAAACACTTATTGTCCTTGGTGGTACAGCTAGACATGGTAAACACTTATTGTCCTTGGTGTTACAGCTAGACATGGTAAACACTTCTTGTCATTGGTGTTACAGCTAGACATGGTAAACACTTCTTGTCATTAGTGTTACAGCTAGACATGGTAAACACTTATTGTCCTTGGTGTTAGAGCTAGATATGGTAAACACTTATTGTCCTTAGTGTTACAGCTAGACATGGTAAACACTTATTGTCCTTAGTGTTACAGCTAGATATGGTAAACACTTATTGTCCTTAGTGTTACAGCTAGACATGGTAAACACTTATTGTCCTTAGTGTTACAGCTAGACATGGTAAACACTTATTGTCCTTGGTGTTACAGCTAGACATGTTAAACACTTCTTGTCATTGGTGTTACAGCTAGACATGGTAAACACTTATTGTCCTTAGTGTTACAGCTAGACATGGTAAACACTTCTTGTCATTGGTGTTACAGCTAGATATGGTAAACACTTCTTGTCCTTAGTGTTAGAGCTAGATATGGTAAACACTTCTTGTCCTTAGTGTTAGAGCTAGATATGGTAAACACTTCTTGTCATTGGTGTTACAGCTAGACATGGTAAACACTTCTTGTCCTTAGTGTTAGAGCTAGATATGGTAAACACTTCTTGTCCTTAGTGTTACAGCTAGACATGGTAAACACTTATTGTCCTTAGTGTTACAGCTAGACATGGTAAACACTTCTTGTCCTTAGTGTTACAGCTAGACATGGTAAACACTTCTTGTCCTTAGTGTTACAGCTAGACATGGTAAACACTTCTTGTTATTAGTGTTACAGCTAGATATGGTAAACACTTCTTGTCCTTAGTGTTACAGCTAGATATGGTAAACACTTATTGTCCTTGGTATTACTGCTGGACATGGTAAACACTTCTTGTTATTAGTGTTACAGCTAGACATGGTAAACACTTCTTGTCCTTAGTGTTACAGCTAGACATGGTAAACACTTATTGTCCTTGGTGTTACAGCTAGACATGGTAAACACTTCTTGTTATTAGTGTTACAGCTAGACATGGTAAACACTTATTGTCCTTGGTATTACTGCTGGACATGGTAAACACTTCTTGTTATTAGTGTTACAGCTAGACATGGTAAACACTTCTTGTCCTTGGTGTTACAGCTAGACATGGTAAACACTTCTTGTTATTAGTGTTACAGCTAGACATGGTAAACACTTATTGTCCTTGGTATTACTGCTGGACATGGTAAACACTTCTTGTTATTAGTGTTACAGCTAGATATGGTAAACACTTCTTGTTATTAGTGTTACAGCTAGACATGGTAAACACTTATTGTCCTTGGTATTACTGCTGGACATGGTAAACACTTCTTGTTATTAGTGTTACAGCTAGACATGGTAAACACTTCTTGTCCTTAGTGTTACAGCTAGACATGGTAAACACTTATTGTTCTTGGTGTTACAGCTAGACATGGTAAACACTTCTTGTCCTTAGTGTTACAGCTAGATATGGTAAACACTTATTGTCCTTGGTGTTACAGCTAGACATATTAAACACTTATTGTCCTTAGTGTTACAGCTAGATATATTAAATATCTTATTGTACTTGGTGTTACAGCTAGATATATTAAACACTTCTTGTCCTTAGTGTTACAGCTAGATATGGTAAACACTTATTGTTCTTGGTGTTACAGCTAGACATGGTAAACACTTCTTGTCCTTAGTGTTACAGCTAGACATGGTAAACACTTCTTGTCCTTAGTGTTACAGCTAGATATGGTAAACACTTATTGTCCTTAGTGTTAGAGCTAGATATATTAAATATCTTATTGTACTTGGTGTTACAGCTAGATATATTAAACACTTATTGTCCTTAGTGTTACAGCTAGACATATTAAATACCGAGGTATCTTATTGTTCTTGGTGTTACAGCTGGACATGGTTAAACATTTTTTTGTGCGAATCTTCTCCCTGGTTTTCATCCCATTGTGTATATATGTATCCTTGTTCTACATCCATCTGAACACACTGACGAAAGCTGGACCTCATGATAACGTGATGACCAGTGGATTTCAGGCCAGTCTGGAGGTAGGTCTGCTGAAATTGAGGGTAGATTAGAACGACAGTAAGTCTATATAACACTAATGAGAAAGGGGGAAGAGCTATGAAAGCTCAACTGATATATGGGAGAGGAAATTGAAACAGCTTTATATCTACATAGACACTACTGATAAGGGGGGCTGGAGGGGAGGGGGTAGAACAGAACTACTGTAAATCAGTAATGATATCCAAATGTCACTGATATACAGAGGGATACATTACCACAACTGTAGCTCTATAATTATAACACATTACTGATATACATGGGAGGAGATAACAACAGCCAAAGATCTGGCATGATAACATGCCACTGATAAAGAGGGGAGGAGATTATAACAGCCAACGGTTATTGTGTATAACAATAACACTATACTGATTGAGATACAGGGGAGTTGATTACAACAGCTGAAGGTCTATAGTCAAAACACACTACTGATGTACAGGGGAGTGCAGTTTGACCAAGGCGTCTAGATTTGATTACAGAAGCAGACATGAAATAGTATGTTCACATGAGTTTTCCTTGGGTTGTCCAGGTCTCCAAAGTAGGAGCTCCATTGCCCTTCCTGAGCGGCAGGGGCAAGGGCAAAAAGGCTAGAATTCTGTTCCACTTTGATCTGATGCATCCCTGGGTCTCAGTTGCGGGGGCCCAATATTGAAAGCAAATTCTTTAAAATCAGTCTTCTTTGTAGGAATGCCTAGATCCAGGCTCTTTGGTCTGAAGCAATCTTGAATGAAGGAGACTTTTATGTAGATTGTTCTGCTGCTCCCCTTGGAGCATATGTATAGGGTCTGATGGGGAAATTGATAGAAACCTTTAGAATTTCTTTTCCTTTTGTTTGGATAATGCAGTTTTAGCTAAACAAAACATGGTAAGTGATACAGGCCCTATGGTCCTCTTGTTCATTACATTATATATTTTATGTGATTTAGTTGTCAATGTAGTTAACATGGTGTTACTTAATTTGAAGGGAGGCCTGGCTGCACTGACAAAGGGTCAACCCCTATATGTGTCGTACGGCTCACAGATCACGCTGCGCCTCACTCATGGGATCACTGGAGCTAAACCCTGCTGGCTTCACTCTCACCAACATGTATACCCAGTACGGTATCCCGACGGGCGTGGGAGCTCCCATCAACAACAAGTTACATGTTACTTCTTCAAGGATGTATACAACTGGTGGATTGTAAAACACCCAAACAGGTCTGTGCTTCATGTCTGAACTTATCCTGTAGAATCTGGACATCTGGATGAATCTATTAATATGTAAAGATACTGTCTGTCAACATTAGGTATTCCTTGAAATTCAACCTCATGTGGACAATCTTTCTTGGACAGGCAATGCCACTTAGAACAGACTATTCTACCTTGACAGACAATGTCACCTGTTATCAATGTTAATGTTATTGGGGACAATCTTACTTGAACAGGGTGTCTTATCTTTACAGAATATGTTACCTAGACAAAGAGTTTTATCTTTACAGATGGTGTTACTGAGACAGAGAATTTTATCTTTACAGATGGTGTTACCTAGACTGTGTTTTATCTATATAGATGGTGTTACCTTGACAAAGTTTTATCTTTACAGATGATGTTACCTAGACTGTGTTTTATCTATATAGATGGTGTTACCTTGACAAAGTTTTATCTTTACAGATGATGTTACCTAGACTGTGTTTTATCTATATAGATGGTGTTACCTTGACAAAGTTTTATCTTTACAGATGATGTTACCTAGACTGTGTTTTATCTATATAGACGGTGTTACCTAGACAGAGAGTCTTATTTTTCTACATTTTAAAGGTGATAATCAGCATAGCTAATTAACATATCTATCCATCAATGTTGTGCTGTTAGATATCATTAGTTCAGAGAGCTGTTTATTTTTTCTGTAGGGAATCCTTGGTAGTGGATGAGCCTCCCCAGGCTGTTAAACATGGTGATGTGGTACAGTTGGTCCATGGGATAACTAGCCGAGCACTGAACAGGTGAGAAAAATCTTGTTACATGTATGAACAGGTGAGCATAATGTAAATATAGGTGTAAATAGGTACGGAACAGGTGAGCATAATGTAAATATAGGTGTAAATAGATACGGAACAGGTGAGCATACTGTAAATATAGGTGTAAATAGGTACGGAACAGGTGAGCATAATGTAAATATAGGTGTAAATAGGTACGGAACAGGTGAGCATAATGTAAATATAGGTGTAAATAGGTACGGAACAGGTGAGCATAATGTAAATTTAGGTGTAAATAGGTACGGAACAGGTGAGAATAATGTAAATATAGGTGTAAATAGGTACGGAACAGGTGAGCATAATGTAAATATAGGTGTAAATAGGTACGGAACAGGTGAGCATAATGTAAATATAGGTGTAAATAGGTACGGAACAGGTGAGCATAATGTAAATATAGGTGTAAATAGGTACGGAACAGGTGAGAATAATGTAAATATAGGTGTTAATAGGTACAGAACAGGTCAGAATAATGTAAATTAGGTGTAAATAGGTACAGAACAGGTGAGCATAATGTAAATATAGGTGTAAATAGGTACGGAACAGGTGAGAATAATGTAAATTTAGGTGTAAATAGGTACGGAACAGGTGAGCATAATGTAAATACAGGTGTAAATAGGTACGGAACAGGTGAGAATAATGTAAATTTAGGTGTAAATAGGTACGGAACAGGTGAGAATGTCTAGTTATTGGTATAAAAAGGTGAGCCTTATGATAATGATGTAGCTGTTCAAGTTTTAATTTTGTCTGTGATACAGTATATTACTAATTAACCCCTCTCCTTATTGTCCTGACATAGCAGCTCACACTCGGATTTTGTCTGTAACAGAGTATGTTGTTACTTATCCCTTACTTTCCTTACAGTCATGATGTTGCAGCTCCAATGACTCCACAGAACCAGGAGGTGTCTTGTTACATTGACTATAATGTATCTATGCCAGCACAGAACTTCTGGAGGGTGGTAAGTACTGGTTTTTTTTTTTAACAGGTCAGGATAACAGGACACTGGCTTTATTAATGTTGATAATGACAGATGATGCCCTTTTCACAACCTTTGCTAATGTTGATAATGACAGATGATGCCCCTTTCACAGCCTATACTAACGTTGATACTGACAGATGCTGTCCTTTTCACAATCTTTGCTAATGTTGATAATGACAGATGATGCCCCTATCACACCCTATATTAATGTTGATAATGACAGACGATGCCCTTTTCACAACCTTTACTAATGTTGATGATGACAGATGATGCCCTTTTCACAACCTTTGCTAATGTTGATAATGACAGATGATGTCCCTTTCACAGTCTTTACTAATGTTGATGATGACAGACAATGCCCTTTGTTGATGTTAACGATGCCATTATTTACCCCCTTACAATTTTGACAAAATTAATTATGATTCTTGATTTGTCTGGTACAAACTTCAAGAAAATTTTTGTTTGCCTTATTTTTTTTTTTATTTATGTTGTTGCTTACACTGTCTTAAAGACATTTTGTTTTATTTGCAGGAGATTGATAACCGTGATACTGATGAGAACACATGGCAGACTATCAAAAGTCATGTAAGATTTGTCCACATGGACACTCGACAAGCCCTGAAGGTAAAGTAAATAAAAATTATGTTGTCCTATAAGATATTGTGTGTTTGAGGTGTATATTTGTATATGTTTATTTAACCTTGTTATTTGCAGGCTACAGGTAAACAGCTGCCAGAATGGGGGTTCCATCAGATAGAGGTCGCCACAGACCGCGTGACCGTACAGCCCGGCACTGTTTGGAATGTGGAGGAGCACCGTTACACTACAAGTGAGTTGGTAATATACTGTATACAATATACACAGTGTGCCTAAATTGACTCCAATCTCTTTACAGCTCCTGTGTGACAAGGCTTTGTCACTCAAAAGTTGTTGTAACATGTAAAACCGACATGCATGTGATGTTATATTTGATTCTAATGAATGAGTTATTTGTTTGTAAATATCTGCTACCTAGATCCAGAGAAGGAACAGCAGGCCCGAGAGTTAGCCAATACAGAGATGATCCCTCTCAAGCCCACACACTTGTCATTCTGGAGGAAATTTTTTGAACTCCAAACCAAGATGTTCTTCTCCAAGATTGATATTGACATGGAACACAAGTACAGCTCTGGACCTTTGGACTGGCCCTTCCTCACCAAGAACACAGCCTACTGGATGTCTCCTACATCCAATGTAAGTAGAGAAACCCTACTGGATGTCTCCTACATCCAATGTAAGTAGAAAAACCCTACTGGATGTCTCCTACGTACAATGTAAGTAGAGAAACCCTACTGGATGTCTCCTACGTCCAATGTAAGTAGAGAAACCCTACTGGATGTCTCCTACGTCCAATGTAAGTAGAGAAACCCTACTGGATGTCTCCTACGTCCAATGTAAGTAGAGAAACCCTACTGGATGTCTCCTACATCCAATGTAAGAAACCACATGATGAAAAGTCATCCTTCCAACCATAACCTTAATTCCCTTTGGTCAACAGGGGAGCACAGTCTTATGGCGAAAAATGATCCTTCATTGCGTTCTGCTATATCTTTAACACCCACTATTTAGTCCAATCAGAGAATCCAGTGGCCAGGTCCAACTTTTGCAAATGAATCATCCTATGGCCAAATTCAGTGCATATTACTTCAGTGGTATGTGAACCAACTAATGGTCAGTTTATATATTTCTGATTGGGGCTCTTGACCTAGAGTCAGGCTCCTATGTTGGCTGTTTGCTAAAATCCTAACAGATAATGTGACTATATTTCAGGCCCAGATCCACCTCCTCGGGAACCCTGTCATCTGGTATTGTGCTTCACTCTCCATCTTCATCTACATTGGACTTTTTATCCTTTACCTCATGAGAAGAAGACGTGACATATTTGATTTGACTGAAAGTAAGTTTCCTTTTTTTTGGTCTTCCAATATTTTTACCTTTTAAAGCAAATTACAAGAAAGTACTAACTTGTAAAAAAACTCCTGAAACAGTTTTATCTTTTCTTCTCCAAAATAAACATACTTTTATCAATGTTAGAATTTGTTTCTTTCATCCTAATACATTGTTGCGAAGATGAAGTTTTTTTAACACCAAAACAGGTTTTTCACCAATCTCTTTGAAACTTGGTAGGCTTATTAATTATTTTTCCAGAGAAGTGTCTTGATTTTGTCAATTTTTTTTATGTGTTATAGCCGTCTGTTTTTATCATGATTTAGATATGTCTATAGATCTCCTAACACAGCTTATTGTGGAAATTGTTACCATTACCTAAAGTTCTTTTTTCCTTATTGGAGTTATTGGTTTTTTCCACCTTACACAGACACCACATCATACCTCAAAGGAACCCTACAATCTACCTTAAAGGGACACTACAAAATACCTTAAAGGGACACTACAAAATACCTTAAAGGGACACTACAATCTACCTCAGAGGGACACTACAAAATACCTTAAAGGGACACTACAAAATACCTTATAGGGACATTACAAAATACCTTATAGGGACACTACAATCTACCTCAGAGGGACACTACAAAATACCTTATAGGGACACTACAAAATACCTTAAAGGGACACTACAAAACACCTTATAGGGACACTACAATCTACCTCAGAGAGACACTACAAAATACCTTATAGGGACACTACAATCTACCTCAGAGAGACACTACAAAATACCTTATAGGGACACTACAAAATACCTTATAGGGACACTACAATCTACCTTAAAGGGACACTACAAAATACCTTATAGGGACCCTACAATCTACCTCAAAGGGACCCAACAATCGATCACAAGGGAACCTTACAATATACCTTAAAAGGATCTATTGTTCTGTCTCATACTAATCTCGCATTAAATCTTATATGAAACGGAAATTTAAATGAAAACTTTGCTGATATAACCTAGACTACTAACAAATATTTGTAAAAAGGTGATTTTCTTGGATCACTATGAAAAAAAACACTTACAGGGCATGCCCACCTTTGTAATGTCTATGCAGGTGATGCCTCTTAATAATGACATCAGAGTAAAAACAATGAGAACAAAAAGTGAAACAAAGTTCTGATAGGTGTTGTTATAAAAGTGTTCATAACAAAATTGATTGTAGTTATGTAATCAGTGATTTACCTTGAGTTTGTTGACTGGAATCAGTGTTTATTTATTACAGATGAGTGGCACCATTTCCTGTTCTTCGGCGAACTCCTTATAGGTGGATATTTCTGCCACTACTTGCCCTTTTTCCTGACAGATAGAACCCTTTTCATGCATAGTTATCTCCCATGTGTTATCTACAAGATCCTGTCTTTGGCAGCTGTTGTGGACCATATTTACATCATCTCCCGCAGGTGAGTAATGTCACAGGTAAATATCTCCCACACATATATACATCAATTCACATGTGTCTGTTACCCGCAGGTGTGTCCTGTTAGGTACTGTGTGTCACAGGTAAATATGAACATCATCTCCCACAGATAGGTACTGTCACAGGTAAATAAGAACATCATCTCCCACAGGTAGGTACTGTCACAGGTAAATATATACATCAATTCACCACAGGTGTGTCCTGTTACAGGTATATCTATATCATTGTGTGTCCTGTTACAGGTAAATCTATACCACAGGTGTGTCCTGTTACAGGTATATCTATATCATTGTGTGTCCTGTTATAGTCATTTACATACCTTGGTAAACATCTGTCACAGCTAAATATACAGGTAGTTCACGGCACCATGTTTTGTTCTGCAGGTTTGCATTTGCGCCAACAATTGTTAGCAGTATTTGTCTGGGCCTTGTATCAGCAGCAGTGTGGGCCTTCGTCAAATTGGCTGTATTCTCCTACGGAAGCTCTGGCCTTTCACCAAATGACATTCAGCATCTTACCTGGAAGGACACCTGGGATTTCCTTGTTCACACTGATCAATGATTTTGAGATCCTTTGGCAGCTTAAGAGGGGAAAGGAATATGATAGTAGAGCTTAGAAGCAGCTTTTATGACCTTGTGCCCTGTCAGCAGATTAAGTTCTGATAGATCAAAGAGATTAGAGATCTGTGCCTTTTTTTGCCCCAGTCATTATATATTGTGGGGGAGGGGATAGTCATGGGGAGGGGGTAGCCATGAGGGGGCAGGGGATAGCTGTGAAGGGGGTGGGGGAAGGAAGATAAATCTTCTGTTGTGGAGGAGGGGAAGTACATAATAGTGTTACACATATATGTCAACTTCTGTCTTGTACCATCGTAAATCAATATCAAGTTTTCATTTTTAATAAAACTTTACACAAAAGTCTACAATACCTTAAATGAAAGCATGTTTCAGGGCACCAAGATTGAAGTCACCGTTACTATTTTTAGAATTCAATATCAACTCTATAGCATGTTTTTTACAAAGGTATTTTGATGAAACTGTAAATAAAGGTCAACTTAAATATTAGATGGATTAATACTGGGTTTCCAGGTCAAGGTAACTATTTATAGAAAATCATCAACCAATCCAACGACATCACTTTAGTGACTCCATTTTTAGATTTTGATTGAACTTTACAAAAGGTCAAACAATATTATGAGAACACATAAATTTGTCACATAATGATACATTGGAGCCAAGGCATACATGTCCTGCTGACATTGGAGCCAAGGCATACATGTCATGTTTTAGTCACACATTCTTTATTGTAGATCCATGAAGTGCAGGTCGACTGGTGAGAGTGAGAATGGTCAGCATGTAAAATATAATTGATATAGATCGTTATTATTTTGATTTAGTCATAAATGTTGTGTTCTGTCTATTCTTGTCTTACACCTATTGCTTTAGACTGGGGTTAGCCTTTGATACTGTTGTTTAACATACAGTTTTATGTTAGAAATAGCAATCACAGAAAGTAGCAGGCATTGACAAAATACATGTGATGTTTGTGTACATGTGATGTATGTGTACATGTGATGTATGTGTACATGTGATCATGTGATGTATGTGTACATGTGATGTATGTGTACATGCGATGTATGTGTACATGTGATCATGTGATGTATGTGTACATGTGATGTACATGTCATGTATGTGTACATGTGATGAACATGTGATATATGTGTACATGTGATGTATGTGTACATGCGATGTATGTGTACATGTGATCATGTGATGTATGTGTACATGTGATGTATGTGTACATGTGATCATGTGATGTATGTGTACATGTGATGTATGTGTACATGTGAAAAACATGTGATGTATGTGTACATGCGATGTATATTTGATACATGTGATGCATGTTATGTACATGTTATACATGTGATATACGTGCGAGTTTTTTGTTCTATTGTAAAATATTTGATGGTTGTTTGATTCTACTTTCATTGATAGCCATTAAATCCCCAGTGAATATTTCCAATATTACAGTCACTTAATGAACCATTCAGACCTCTATAGCTCCAGTCATACGTACAACTTACTGTAGCCTTGTTGGTTTTACAGTCCTCTATAGTTCCAGTCATATGTACAACTTGCTGTAGCCTTGTTGGTTTTACAGACCTCTATAGCTCCAGTCATTGTACGTACAACCTACTGTGGTCTTGTTGGTTTTACAGTCCTCTATAGCTCCAGTCATTGTACGTACAACTTACTGTGGTCTTGTTGGTTTTATCTGTACAAGACTATCAAAGATTCTTGTCATGTTTTTTTGTATTTTTATTTATTGTGTATATGAAATGTTTTTCACAAGCTTTCTTACAATTTTCTCAAATTTTACATCATGTTTTTTTTACAACTTTTTCACAAACCATATGAAGTATGTCCCTTAATTATTGCTAGTGATACTTTGTACAAAACTGCCTATACATAATAAAACATGAAATTTAATTATAAGCTTATGTCTGAACCATGAAAATAAATAAAGATAGCATTTTAAGCCACAGACTAACAGAATTTAAGATAGATGGACAGACATACTGATAGATGATGGACAGACATACTGGTAGATGATGGAAAGACATACTCATAGATGGACAGACATGGTCATAGATGGAAAGACATTTTGATAGATGGAAAGACATACTAATAGATGGACAGATATTCTAATAGATGGATAGACATACTGGTAGATGGACAGACATACTGGTAGATGATGGAAAGACATACTCATAGATGGAAAGACATACTTATAGATGGACAGACATGGTCATAGATGGAAAGACATTTTAATAGATGGAAAGACATACTAATAGATGGACAGATATTCTAATAGATGGACAGACATACTGGTAGATGATGGACAGACATACTAATAGATGATGGACAGACATACTGATAGATGATGGACAGACATACTGATAGATGATGGACAGACATACTGGTAGATGATGGACAGACATACTGGTAGATGATGGACAGACATACTAATAGATGATGGACAGACATACTGGTAGATGATGGACAGACATACTGATAGATGATGGACAGACAAATTGATAGATGAATGAGAAGAAAAAGAAAAGTAGACATACAAAAAAAGAGAAATACATATCAATAGTTAGACAATAATTTGGAAAAATAGAGAGATTCAATCAAAATGAATGAACAGGCAAATCTTTGTGATGAAACATTAAAAGGATGGACAGATAATTGGATGGACAATCAGATACAGGGGTTATGATATATAATGGAGGATGTGTATTGTTATGACGTAGAAAGTAAGTGGAAAAAACATGAAACTGAAAATGTTCACAGAAAGTACTGGTTGCTTAAGTTTACAAGTGTTTTATTGATAGAAAGACATAATTAAAAAAAGAAAGGAAAGACCTGATAAATATTTGAGGCAGGTATTTAACATTTCAGATACAATTAAATATCTGTAAATGGTTTGTGCTTGACAAAGTCGTAACATTACTTCAAAAAGGTGCTGTCTGAAAGCTGGGTAATTTTAAGAGGTGCAGTCTGACAACCTGGTTGATACCATTATTTCAAGGGATGTTGTCTGACAACAGGGTTGATACCATTATTTTCAGGGATGTTGTCTAACAACAGGGTTGATACCATTATTTTAAGAGATGTTGTCTGACAAAGTCATTTTTAAAAAATTTTTACTGCTATTATGTGCAATAATCTGTGAATGTGCCTTATAAAATAATGTTTTTTTCCATGTTTGATGTCATGTGTAAGATCATTTCATGTCTTGAAAAAGTCATTTTGTAATTTAAACCACACACTTTATGTGAATTTATTAGTTTGGTCTGTAATCTCTTCTTGAATGAGGAATGGGAGTGATTAAGTGATCGGAACTCTACATTCCAGAAAATTAACAATTCTAAGTGTTATTGTCTTAATATTGTTGTGCTTTGATTCAAATGATTAACATTGTAATAGAAGCTGGTCTCAAGTGTAATTGTCAGAGTGGAGGAAAATCTCTCACCATTCATTGACTCGTGTTTAGAGTCATTTCCACAGGGGAGACCACTCTGTCACCATTCATTGATAGGTGTATGGTGCCATTTTTAGCTTTACTGGTCCGAGGGACTGATGAGCCATACTGTGATGTCTGTTGTCATTAAGAAATTTCTACTTGTCATGAACAAACAGGGCAGATTTTGACCAAATTTGGTCTGAAGGCTTTTTTTGGGAGAAGGGGAACATACTTTGTTTAAACGATGGGTCCTGATTTCCTGGAGCCTGAGGGGCAGCCCCAAAAAGGGAAAATTTGCAAGTTCTTTGAAATTATACTCCTCAAGTAGGAATGATTGGATTTTTCTTAAATTTGGGTCGAAGTGAAGGGAAATCAATTTTGTACGAAGAGTGGGTTTCAGCCCACTTGGGCAGGATGGGCAGTGCCTAATAGGGATAATAGAGCAAATTCTTAAAACTTTCCTTCTTTAGGAATGATTTGATTTTGCCCAAAGTCGGTCTGAAGTGCTCTTTGGGTAAATAGGAATCATATTGTATAAACAGTGGATCTCAGCCCACTGGGGCCGGAGTGGCTGGGCTTGGTCAGCAGGGGAAATAGAGTAAATTCTGTAAGATCCAGCACCTTCCTCCTGTAGGAATGATTTGATTTTGCCCAAAGTCAGTCTGAAGTGCTCTTTGGGTAAATAGGAATCATATTGTATAAACAGTGGATCTCAACCCACTAAGGTGGGAGTGGCTGGGCTTGGTCAGCAGGGGAAATAGAGTAAATTCTGTAAGATCCAGCACCTTCCTCCTGTAGGAATGATTAGATTTTGCCTAAATTTGGTCTGAATCATCCCTGAGTGAAGAGAACTTTATATACCAATGTATCTGACCTTTCTTGGGATGGGGCCTTCTAAGGAAAATAGATACAAGTCTTTTCAATACTTTTCCTTTAGCTTAATCAAAGCAATTTCAGTAAAATACAATTCAGCGATACAATATGCTTACTAATGACTTATTTATGATATTCAGTTTTTTGCTGTTATTAACATTTTATAACTATATGAATATTTTTATCATGCAATTGTATTTTATTATGCATTAAATTTTTTCTTAACATTTTGAAATTGTTTCATTTTTTCAATTGTGGACAATTGTGTGTACTTTACCATCTAATTAACTTGACAGCTCTGTAGCTGTATGTAAACTGTGTGATGGAACTGCAGCTGTGTGTAAACATCCTGACAATAATGTAACTATGTAAACCTCCTAATAGGACTACAGCTGTTTGTAAACATCCTGTTTGTACTGTAGCTGTACAAGGTGTCTAATCATACTGATGGTACTACAGCTGAAAACAAACATTCTGATAGAACACAGCTGTATGTAAACATCCTGATTGTACTACAGCTGTGTGTAAACATCCTGACAATAATGTAACTATGTAAACCTCCTAATAGGACTACAGCTGTTTGTAAACATCCTGTTTGTACTGTAGCTGTACAAGGTGTCTAATCATACTGATGGTACTACAGCTAAAAACAAACATTCTGATAGAACACAGCTGTATGTAAACATCCTGATTGTACTACAGCTGTGTGTAAACATCCTGACAATAATGTAACTATGTAAACCTCCTAATAGGACTACAGCTGTTTGTAAACATCCTGTTTGTACTGTAGCTGTACAAGGTGTCTAATCATACTGATGGTACTACAGCTGAAAACAAACATTCTGATAGAACACAGCTGTATGTAAACATCCTGATTGTACTACAGCTGTGTGTAAACATCCTGACAATAATGTAACTATTTAAACCTCCTAATAGGACTACAGCTGTTTGTAAACATCCTGTTTGTACTGTAGCTGTACAAGGTGTCTAATCATACTGATGGTACTACAGCTGAAAACAAACATTCTGATAGAACACAGCTGTATGTAAACATCATGATTGTACTACAGCTGTGTGTAAACATCCTGATGGTACTACAGCTGTATGTAAACATCCTGATGGTACTACAGCTGTATGTAAACATCCCGATGGTACTACAGCTGTATGTAAACATGCTAATTGTACTAGAGCTGTATGTAAACATCCTGATGGTACTACAGCTGTGTGTAAACATCCCGATGGTACTACAGCTGTATGTAAACATCCCGATGGTACTACAGCTGTATGTAAACATGCTAATTGTACTAGAGCTGTATGTAAACATCCTGATGGTACTACAGCTGTGTGTAAACATCCCGATGGTACTACAGCTGTATGTAAACATCCCGATGGTACTACAGCTGTATGTAAACATGCTAATTGTACTACAGCTGTATGTAAACATCCTGATGGTACTACAGCTGTATGTAAACATACCGATTGTACTACAGCTGTATGCAAACATCATGATTGTACTACAGCTGTATGTAACATCATGATTGTACTACAGCTGTATGTAAACATGCTGATTGTACTACAGCTGTATGTAAACATACTGATAGTACAACAGCTGTATAAAACACCCTAATAGTACTACAGCTGTATAAAACACACCCTAATAGTACTACAGCTGTATGTAAACATCCTGATTGTACTACAGCTGTTTGTAAACATCATGATTGTACTACAGCTGTATGTAAACATGCTGATTGTACTACAGCTGTATGTAAACATACTGATTGTACTACAGCTGTATGTAAACATACTGATTGTACTACAGCTGTATGTTAACATGCTGATTGTACTACAGCTGTATGTAAACATCATGATAGTACTACAGCTGTATGTAAACATCATGATTGTACTACAGCTGTATATAAACATGCTGATTGTACTACAGCTGTATGTAAACATACTGATAGTACAACAGCTGTATAAAACACCCTAATAGTACTACAGCTGTATGTAAACATCCTGATGGTACTACAGCTGTTTGTAAACATCATGATTGTACTACAGCTGTTTGTAAACATCATGATTGTACTACAGCTGTATGTAAACATGCTGATTGTACTACAGCTGTATGTAAACATGCTGATTGTACTACAGCTGTATGTAAACATACTGATTGTACTACAGCTGTATGTTAACATGCTGATTGTACTACAGCTGTATGTAAACATATTGATTGTACTACAGCTGTATGTTAACATGCTGATTGTACTACAGCTGTTTGTAAACATCATGATTGTACTACAGCTGTATGTAAACATCCTGATGGTACTACAGCTGTATGTAAACATGCTGATTGTACTACAGCTGTATGTAAACATCATGATAGTACTACAGCTGTATGTAAACATCATGATAGTACTACAGCTGTATGTAAACATGCTGATTGTACTACAGCTGTATGTAAACATCATGATAGTACTACAGCTGTATGTAAACATCATGATAGTACTACAGCTGTATGTAAACATGCTGATTGTACTACAGCTGTATGTAAACATGCTGATTGTACTACAGCTGTATGTAAACATGCTGATTGTACTACAGCTGTATGTAAACATCATGAGAGTACTACAGCTGTATGTAAACATCATGATAGTACTACAGCTGTATGTTAACATGCTGATTGTACTACAGCTGTATGTAAACATGCTGATTGTACTACAGCTGTATGTAAACATCATGATAGTACTACAGCTGTATGTAAACATGCTGATTGTACTATAGCTGTATGTAAACATGCTGATTGTACTACAGCTGTATGTAAACATCAAGATAGTACTACAGCTGTATGTAAACATCATGATAGTACTACAGCTGTATGTAAACATGCTGATTGTACTACAGCTGTATGTAAACATGCTGATTGTACTACAGCTGTATGTAAACATGCTGACTGTACTACAGCTGTATGTAAACATCATGAGAGTACTACAGCTGTATGTAAACATCATGATAGTACTACAGCTGTATGTAAACATCATGATTGTACTACAGCTGTATGTAAACATGCTGATTGTACTACAGCTGTATGTAAACATCATGATAGTACTACAGCTGTATGTAAACATGCTGATTGTACTACAGCTGTATGTAACATGCTGATGGTACTACAGCTGTATGTAAACATACTGATGGTACTACAGCTGTATGTAAACATGCTGATTGTACTACAGCTGTATGTAAACATACTGATTGTACTACAGCTGTATGTAAACATCCTGATGGTACTACAGTTGTATGTAAACATCATGATTGTACTACAGCTGTATGTAAGCATGCTGATTGTACTACAGCTGTATGTAAACATGCTGATTGTACTACAGCTGTATGTAAACATGCTGATTGTACTACAGCTGTATGTAAACATCCTGATGGTACTACAGCTGTATGTAAACATACTGCATGTAGTATTCTGGCATTGGATTGGGGTTGGGAGATGTACCCTCTACAATCACATCAAAATTTTACTATGAAAATTTATTTCATTACGTGAAAAAATTTACAAATATGTATATAAAAATATATCAAAAAGTTTGTATTTCAAATCTGCACAAAGCCTTCTAAAATCAATTGAATTGAAGTAGGAATTTGAGAAACACTGAGATAGGCATTCGAGATGAATTTCTGTGACAACTGCTAGGAACTGGAACATTTATCAAATCCAAAATTACTTTCAAGCCATTCGAATATATATGTTAAAAAATAAAGTATTTCTATTCCATATCATCAATAAGACTTGGTTGGAAATTCGACATATCCATTGCTTCTAGCCAGAGATTATATATGTGCCTTGCACCAGGCTGACAATTCGGGAGTTTGCTAGACCATGCCACTAGGTTGAGAGCGGAAGATCTTTGTGTAGTGTTCTTTCACCCATTTGTGTATCTGAGATTTCTCTACCTCCCTCACTGTCCGAACACTGGGTGGATCAGCAGGATTAGCTCCCCTGAAACATCACACAACATTTTAGATAAGTGTCTAGACATGTGAAACTATACACTGTTTTCAGGTTGGACAACAGGAGCCTGAAAATATTGAAACCACTAAATTGTTTCCGCAATAATAACGGTATTGTATCTTCAACATTTTCAGACTCAAAGTCTGTTGTCACTTGTAGACACATGCAGTAAAGCTAAAGTTAACAAGAGGCCCAATGGGCTGCATAAAAATACAATAAATGATAATCACATATACATTAACTCAAGCACCATTGATATTGAACGTAGGAACAGCCAATCAATTTTAACCAATTTCCACAACAAATTTCAGCTTCTAACACTTGGCTCTAAACAGTGGTAGTTATGGCGTGGATTGAAAGTTAATGTCATTTCTGTTTCCTTCATTTTTTTCCTCAAAATTAAGGATTTGACCTTTCCACTAGATATTCTATGACTCAGACTTTTGGTTTACCAGAAGATGTCTTTGACCCCTGTGATCTTGAACATAGTTCCAGGTCATTTATTTTGGCAAACTTTATCAGGCTTCATCACAGAGGTCTACCTGCCAAACATCATGCTTCGAGAACTTTTGGTAAATTAGAAGAAAGAAGTTTTAACAAATTTTACCCCTATGACCATCAATATGGGTCAAGGTCATTTCTTTTCCGCAATCTTTGTTAGGCTTCATCCCAGCAACCCTTCCAACCAAGTATCATTGTCTGGGTCTGGAAATCTGACACCTGATACAGTGACAAGGTCTGGAAATCTGACACCTGATACAGTGACAAGGTCTGGAAATCTGACACCTGATACAGTGACAAGGTCTGGAAATCTGACACCTGATACAGTGACAAGGTCTGGAAATCTGTCTATAGTATTTACACTATATCTAGTTATGGGTGTTTAAGTGGCGAGTTTCAGAGTTTACCTGAGATCTAGGTGATGTGCTCCACCTTTGACAAGCTGAGTTACTAGGCTCGGATTGGTAGTGCTTAAAACCTAAACAGAATAAAGAATTTTATAGTGATACAACAAATATCTTGGGAATAGGTGATCTTCTACAAAGGGATGTAACTTTTTATTGAAAATGTCAGGTATTACTTTTTATCATCTGTGACACTCCCCTTTCACAGTGTCCAAATCACAATAATATTTACCCCACCACACCTCCAGGGATCCAGGTCACCATTATACTTACCCCACCACACCTCCATGGGTCCAGGTCACCATTATACTTACCCTACCTCTCCTCCAGGGATCCAGATCACCATTATACTTACCCCACCTCCCCTCCAGGGATCCAGGTCACCATTATACTTGCCCCACCTCTCCCCCAGGGATCCAGGTCACCATTATACTTACCCCACCTCTCCTCCAGGGATCCAGATCACCATTATACTTACCCCACCTCTCCTCCAGGGATCCAGGTCACCATTATACTTGCCCCACCTCTCCCCCAGGGATCCAGGTCACCATTATACTTACCCCACCACACCTCCATGGGTCCAGGTCACCATTATACTTACCCTACCTCTCCTCCAGGGATCCAGATCACCATTATACTTACCCCACCTCTACTCCAGGGATCCAGGTCATCATTATACTTGCCCCACCTCTCCCCCAGGGATCCAGGTCACCATTATACTTACCCCACCACACCTCCATGGGTCCAGGTCACCATTATACTTACCCTACCTCTCCACCAGGGATCCAGATCACCATTATACTTACCCCACCTCTCCTCCAGGGATCCAGGTCACCATTATACTTGCCCCACCTCTCCCCCAGGGATCCAGGTCACCATTATACTTACCCCACCACACCTCCATGGGTCCAGGTCACCATTATACTTACCCTACCTCTCCTCCAGGGATCCAGATCACCATTATACTTACCCCACCTCTCCTCCAGGGATCCAGGTCACCATTATACTCTTCCCACCTCTCCTCCAGGGATCCAGATCACCATTATACTTACCCCACCTCTCCTCCAGGGATCCAGATCACCATTATACTTACCCTACCTCTCCTCCAGGGATCCAGGTCACCATTATACTTACCCCACCTTTCCTCCATGGATCCAGATCACCATTATACTTACCCCACCTCTCCTCCAGGGATCCAGATCACCATTATATATACCCCACCTCTCCTCCAGGGATCCAGATCACCATTATACCTACCCCACCTCTCCTCCAGGGATCCAGGTCACCATTATACTTATCCCACCACACCTCCAGGGATCCAGATCACCATTATATATACCCCACCTCTCTTCCAGGGATCCAGATCACCATTATACCTACCCCACCTCTCCTCCAGGGATCCAGGTCACCATTATACTTACCCCACCACACCTCCAGGGATCCAGGTCACCATTATACTTACCCCATCACACCTCCAGGGATCCAGGTCACCATTATACTTACCCCACCTCTCCTCCAGGGATCCAGGTCACCATTATACTTACCCCACCACACCTCCAGGGATCCAGGTCACCATTATACTTACCCCACCACACCTCCAGGGATCCAGGTCACCATTATACTTACCCCACCACACCTCCAGGGATCCAGGTCACCATTATACTTACCCCACCACACCTCCAGGGATCCAGGTCACCATTATACTTACCTCACCACACCTCCAGGGATCCAGGTCACCATTATATTTACTCCACCTCTCCTCCAGGGATCCAGATCACCATTATACCTACCCCACCTCTCCTCCAGGGATCCAGATCACCATTATACTTACCCCACCTCTCCTCCAGGGATCCAGATCACCATTATACCTACCCCACCTCTCCTCCAGGGATCCAGATCACAATTATACTTACCCCACCTCTCCTCCAGGGATCCAGATCACCATTATACTTACCCCACCTCTCCTCCAGGGATCCAGATCACAATTATACTTACCCCACCTCTCCTCCAGGGATCCAGATCACCATAATACTTACCCCACCTCTCCTCCAGGGATCCAGATCACCATTATACCTACCCCACCTCTCCTCCAGGGATCCAGATCACCATTATACTCTCTCCACCTCTCCTCCAGGGATCCAGGTCACCATTATACTTACCCCACCTCTCCTCCAGGGATCCAGATCACCATTATACTTACCCCACATCTCCTCCAGGGATCCAGATCACCATTATACCTACCCCACCTCTCCTCCAGGGATCCAGATCACCATTATATTCTCTCCACCACACCTCCAGGGACCCAGATCACCATTATAATTACCCCACCTCTCCTCCAGGGATCCAGATCACCATTATACTTACCCCAACTCTCCTCCAGGGATCCAGATCACCATTATACTTACCCCACCTCTCCTCCAGGGATCCAGATCACCATTATACTCTCTCCACCTCTCCTCCAGGGATCCAGGTCACCATTACATATATTCATTCCAACTCTCCTCCAGGGATCCAGGTCACCATTATACTTACCTCACCTCTCTTCCAGGGATCTAGATCACCATTATACTTACCCCACCTCTCCTCCAGGGATCCAGATCACCATTATACCTACCCCACCTCTCCTCCAGGGATCCAGATCACCATTATATATACCCCACCTCTCCTCCAGGGATCCAGATCACCATTATACCTACCCCACCTCTCCTCCAGGGATCCAGATCACCATTATACTTACCCCACCTCTCCTCCAGGGATCCAGATCACCATTATACTTACCCCACCTCTCTTCTAGGGATCCAGATCACCATTATACTTACCCTACCTCTCCTCTAGGGATCCAGATTACCATTATACTTACCCCCTCCCCCTCTCTCCCCAGGGATCCAGATCACCATTATACTTACCCCACATCTCCTCTAGGGATCCAGATCACCATTATACTTACCCTACCTCTCCTCCAGGGATCCAGATCACCATTACATATATTCATCCCAACTCTCCTCCAGGGATCCAGGTCACCATTATACTTACCCCACCTTTCCTAAAGGGATCCAGATCACCATTACACTCTCTCCACCTCTCCTCCACGGATCCAGATCACCATTATTCTTACCCCACCTCTCTTCCAGGGATCCAGATCACCATTATATATACCCCAACTCTCCTCCAGGGATCCAGATCACCATTATACTTACCCCACCTCTCCTCCAGGGACCCAGATCACCATTATACTTACCCCACCTCTCCTCCAGGGACCCAGATCACCATTTTACTTACCCCACCTCTCCTCCAGGGATCCAGATCACCATTATACTTACCCCAACTCTCCTCCAGGGATCCAGATCACAATTATACTTACCCCACCTCTCCTCCAGGGATCTAGATCACCGTTATACTTACCCCACCTCTCCTCCAGGGATCTAGATCACCATTATACTTACCCCACCTCTCCTCCAGGGATCCAGATCACCATTATACTTACCCCACCTCTCCTCCAGGGATCCAGATCACCATTATACTTACCCCACCTCTCCTCCAGGGATCCAGGTCACCATTATACTTACCCCACCTCTCCTCCAGGGATCCAGATCACCATTATACTTACCCCACCTCTCCTCCATGGGATCCAGATCACCATTAGAAAACACTATGTTGCTAGCTCTATCCAGATCTACAGGAGAGGATAAATTGATGCGTTTAGTATTATCAAGTAAAGTCATATGTATTAATTGTCTGTTTGACTGAACATCAGCGTAGCGCAGATTAACCTCTAACCTACAAAGTAGTCTCACAAATACCTGAATATATGATACACAATATATACACAATTAATTCTGAAACTCTAAGTCCTTATCATATTAAAACAATGATTGTAGATTGTACAATATAGTTGTGTTTCAGATTAAATCTATAAATATCATTTCACATTAAAACTATATTAACAGATAGTACAAATTATACTTCTCTACCAAAAAAACGAATACTGTTTGTACACTGGACACACCTCTGCCCCAGAACTGGTTGGTTGCCCAGCTGTTCCTGGGGGTGACATTCCACTGCTGCTGGCAGTACTGTGTACGTATCTGTGCTGTGAAGGGAAGAACAGGGAACATGTCTGTCACATTGTTGGTACCTGCTGGCAGATACACCTCTGTACAAGCCTGTCAACAAAAACCCAAAGGCTGAATATTAAAATGTCAGTTTGATACCATCTTTTACATTTATACATACTCAATATCTATCCTGTATTTAGCTCAGAGGACTGCATAAAAAAAAATCTGCTTCAAAATCTTGGTTGATAAGAAAAAGATATTCAAAGGGTTCAACAAATTCAATATATTCAATTTGAATATGGGTCAAGATAATTTTTCTCTCAGTATTTATTTGTGTCATGCAATAGACTAACTGCCAAATATTATGATTCTTGGCCATTTGGTTCATTAGAAGAAGTCATTGGAAGATAATTTTTTCCAAAAAATCATATCTGAAAGATTTGTGAACCTTATTTCTCAAAGCAAACCTTCTTTGACTTCATCCCAGGAATCTTCCAGCCAGATATCATAATTCTAGTTCTAACAGATCTACAGATAGATAGACAACAGAGGATGCATAACTGTGGGTGCTCATCTTGCCCTTGGGCCTGTTGAGCTAAAAAGCATTTGTCACCAAATCCACCTGCCAGGGATTCCCAGGACCATGCCCACCCACCAGGTCAATCCCAAGACCGCACCCATTTATATGGTAGTACCAGGACCGCATCCACTACCCAGGAGTCCAAGGACCACAACCACCATCCTGGTAGTAAGTTTACCACTGATTCTGGTGGTTCCAGGTCCACATTAATTTATTTAGTAGTCCCAAGACCACTCCTACCTTACTGACAGTCCCAGCACCACCTCCACCTACCTGGTAGTACCATGACCACAAATACCAATCTGGTAGACCCAAGACCACACTCTACTACCTGATAGTCCAAGGACCACACCTACCTGGAAGTCCCAGGCTCTGCTGTCAGGACCCACTCCACATCCAGTAGGGTCTGCACACTCCACATATTCTTGGAAGATGTTGTGACACTTTACAGGTAGACTATTATACAGGATGTCTGAGATAAAAAGAAAATCATGTTGATTTGTTGATGTTGTTAAAGGGTTGAGAGTTACCAAGACATGACGCTGAGAATATTTGTTAGAAAATATCAACATGGGAATAATGAGACAAACACCTCATTTAGGACAGGGAATGGCAAGTCACACAAGAACACAAGTCACACAGGTGATACATGTCACACAAGAACACAAGTCAAATATGTGACACATGTCACACAGGTGACACATATCACACACAGGCTCAAGTCACATAAGGGACACATGTTGCACAAAGACACAAATCACACAGGAGATCCATGTCATATAAGGCCACACATAAGACACATATCACACAGGAGACACTCGTCACACAAGGCCACAGGTCACACATGGGACAATAGTCACACAAGGACACATGTCACACTAGTTACACAGGTGACACATGTTAAACAGGGACACAAATCACATAGCAGACACATGTCACATTAGGCCAAAAGTGACACCAGAGACACGTGTCATAAAAAGACACAAGTCACAAAAGTGACACATGTCACACAGGAAACACTTGTCACAAAAGAACACACGTCACACAGGTGACACATGCCACAAAAAGACACATGTCACACAGGGAACACATATCAAACAGGAGACACATGTCAAACAGGGGACACATTTCACATAGGAGACACATATCACACAGGGATACATGTCACACAAGGGACACATGTCATATTAGGTCACAGGTCACACAGTGGACACTAGTCCCACAGGAGACACATGTCAAACAGGAGACACATTTCACATAGGAGCACAAGTCACATAGGAAATACATGTCACAGAGGGACACATGTCAAACAAGGTACAAATCTCAAACAGGGACACAAGTCACATACTGATCACAAGTCACACAGGACACAGTAAATCATACAGATCTACATTAGGGTCACTTTCCACATTGATAGAGAATACTTACCTGCAGCCTTTGCTAGTCCAACGATGACATCAGCAGCATTAGTCATGAACCCACATGCAACCTAAAACAGTCCACATCATATGACATCAGTAGTGACACTCAAAAAATACATTTTTAATCAATTGTCCATTCTCATTTCAACAAGAATTCGAACATTTAGATAAAGTATAACAGAAAAAAAAAATCCTATTTGTTTGAGAATACTTTAAGAAAACATATTTCAATTTTTGGCCTTTAACAATAACAACAAAATAATTCAGGTATCCTGGGCACATTAGTTTTGAACCCCTTGCTAATCACATCTTAATGCTACTCTATGTATGTTTCAATTTCTGTAGCCAAAAATCTGTAAGGAGGCGTGGCCTATTATTCATGTTTTTTTTTTCTATTCACTTGACAGACGACATAAAAAACACTGGGATCTTAGGATGGATTGATGGGTTCTTTCATCATATCTGGGAAGATGTTTAACATGTTAAGGTGAGTATTAAGAAAAAAAAATTGCAAATTAAATGTATAGTCATATTTCATGAAGAATGAATTTAATCAGTTTTTTGTTGCTAGGAGGCATCACATGTTATAGTAACCAAAACTGCTTGGGTCAGTAGTTCATGTAAAAGATTTTTAAAAAATGGCCATATCGAAAATATATTGTAGACCAGGATCAATGTCAAAACAATACCAACCTTCACAGGAAATGCTGGCAGACTGGCAAAGGATTCAGCTTTGTATGGATAATCCATCATGGCTAAAACTGTGAACGCATTTCTCACCCAACCTTGTAGGTGGCGATATTCTTCATTGCTTGTTAATGGGTTGCAGAGGTTAAAGGTCACAGACAACTGATCAAGTCCTGGTAGACAGAAAAAATAAAGATATTAGCTACCTGTAAAGGTTAAAGGTCAAAGACATCTGATCAATAGTCCTGACAGACACAAAAAATAAAGATATTAGCTACCTATAGAGGTTAAAGGTCACAGACATCTGATCAAAAGTCCTGGGAAACAGAAAAAGAAATATATTAGCTACCTATAGAGGTTAAAGGTCACAGACAACTGATCAATAGTCCTGGCAAACAGAAAAAATAAAGATATTTACTACCTATAGAGGTTAAAGGTCAAAGACAACTGATCAAGTCCTGGCAGACAGACAGAAACAACAATAACTACCTGCAGAGGTTAAGGGTCATAGATGATAGCCTGGCGGACTGAAAGAATCAACATTTAGTTACCTAAAGAGGTTGAAGGTCATAGACAATAGATTGAGTCCTGGTTGACAGGAAGATTCAACTTTCACCTACCTAAAGAGGTTAAAGGTCATCAACAATGGATGGAGTCCTGGCAGACAGAAAGAATCAGAATTACCTACCTACAGAGGTTAAAGGTCATATACAGCTTGACATTAGTTATTTACACTGATAAAACCTTGACTATACATTAACAGTCACAGTCCTGTATTTTCTTATTCATAACAGTTGTATACTTTGTAGATTAGATAAAAGGTCTATATGTTTTATATGGGTCTAATTGTTCTAATGCTGTCTTAACTCTACAACTGTAGCTAGACATTACATCCTTGTTAAAGTCATGTACTGTTTGAATCACTTATCAAATATCTCATTACTATAGATTTAATATACAAATGTATATATCTATATATGTAAATTTTGAGTAACCTTCATTTTTATATTGAAGATACAGTGAACCTTTTCTAAGACTAGCAAGTTTATTTAGCATATTTCTAATATATCACAAAGGAGAACAAATCTGCTAATCGCTATATTTGTGTGTCCTTTAACTCTACATCATTATGGATACCACTGGTGTGACCTGTAACTAACTTTTCAGAAGTGCTGTAAATCTTGTCTCATATTCACAGTGACAATTAAGGCAATATAAATTATCTATTGATATGTAAAAGGTTGAATAACACTCTGGAGTTAGGTGTGAAAACTGATATTGATTATATATACACCTGACTGGATGATGATACAGAAAAGTCTGTATAGACTCCAGATGTGAAAGCTTGGGACAGCAGATTTTTGATATATACACCTGACTGGATGATGATACAGAAAAGTCTGTATAGACTCAAGGTGTGAAAGCTTGGGACAGCAGATTTTTTATATATACATCTGACTGGATGATGATACAGGAAAGTCTGTATAGACTCAAGGTGTGAAAGCTTGGGACAGCAGATTTTTTATATATACATCTGACTGGATGATGATACAGAAAAGTCTATATAGACTCCAGGTGTGAAAGCTTGGGACAGCAGATTTTTTATATATACACCTGACTGGATGATGATACAGAAAAGTCTATATAGACTCCAGGTGTGAAAGCTTGGGACAGCAGATTTTTTATATATACATCTGATTTGATGTTGATACAGGAAAGTCTGTATAGACTCCAGATGTGAAAGCTTGGGACAGCAGATTTTTTATATATACATCTGATTTGATGATGATACAGCTCTAAATTTCAAAAGGATGTATTGATGATTGCTGAATCTTTAGTGGTCATTTGTTCCGAAGAAGCATTCTTATATCTGGAAATATTTGAAAATAGACTTAAACTTTTTTTATTCATATCTTGAATATTACATGCCGATGTATTTTTGTTTCATACATTCGTATTTGAGTGTATAATTACTGAGTCATTAAAATGTTTCCTCAAATTTGCAGTTTTGACTTATTTTAATCCATGCATGATTCTTATCAACTTTTTTGATGATATCATTAAATACATATACTAATTAAGAGAGTAAAAATCTTAACCTTTGACCCTGTGACCCTGACTTTTGACAATTCACTTTCCTGATTGATTCAAATTATTTTTCTCCCTGTAATGACAACATATCATTCAGTTAGAAGATTTTAAAATTTACCTTCACCTTTGACAGAATGACCTTGACTTTGAGTACACTCAACAATATCCATTTCAATCAGCTTTGCTTAGAAAATTACCAAAATTCTGAGAAAAATCTAAAACATTGTGACCAAGAGCCCCATTTTGATTAGCAAGAGGATTATAAGCTTTGATGACAATATCCAAAATGGTTGCATTGTGCCCTTCAAAACTTGCAAACATATGTGATGTACAAAATTGTAGAATCCCTGTTTCTGGGAAGGACTGATAACATAAACCTATATATCCATGATGGCTGCCTGGTAACCAGGTTCTTCTAGATATCCTAAAACAAAAGTGATGTTAAGCTACTACTCATGTGTCTAGACCTGATTGATTATGGACAAACAGCTGCAGTGGAAGTTAGACAAAGGGAACATACTATGGTGAAAGACTTTGGGCTTAAAGTCCAGAATTAAGCATTGAATATGTGTGTAAAGAAACATTACCTGAAGTTCCCTGGGAAGCCAGACTGTCCATTTGTATAAAAGCTTGGCGTACTCTGTCCTCACAGTCTGCATCAGCCTTAGCAAAGTCCTGTCAGAATAAATAGTTTTAAAGAGAGAGGGGTAAAAACAGGTACACTACAGTTAGAGAGTTCTATAGATGATACAAATTCTCCCACAATTATCTTAAAATCTATCTTACAACTATCCAAATTTGTTCATCAAAGTCAAAGAACAAAGACAGAAGAGTGATGACATCACAATATATTCAATATATAGTAATGCTGGCTTCAATTTCAACCCAAGGAGGTCAAGGTAACAAAGGTCAAGGCAATGACTTGTCCAAGAGAGGATGGTCATGAATTAGTTATAGAACAATCTGAAAACAAGTTTACTGAAATTGCTTCATCTAAAATAAATGGAAAGCATTTAAATAGTTTATATATATTTCTCCTATTAGGCCTCTCCACTCTGCCCTAAGGGGATCAAAAGGTAACTCATTTAACTTTACCCATGGATGCCCATGACCAAAGTGGAATAAAATTCAAATTACTAAAGAATAAGAACAATTTTAAAGATTTTGCTGTATTTCTGTATTTGTGTCCCACTCTCCCTGACCAAGCGGGTGAAACTGACCCATTTACCTAAGGATGCTTCAAACCAACTTTGGGCAAAATCCAATCATCCTACAGGGGAAGCAAGATTTTTAAGAATTTGTTCTATTTCATCCATTGGCCCCTGCCCCTCCTGTCCCAGGGAACTGAGAAGGATTTTAAAGAACTTGCATAATTTACTTTTCAATCCACCCGTCCAGTCCCTTGGGTTTGAGACCTACCATCTATATACAATTTGTTTTTCTTCCCCTAAGGATGCTTCTGACAAAATTTGGTAAAAATTCACCCAGCCATGTATGACTTGTAGTGATCTGTAGAAAAATTTGTCAAATGGAAGGACAATGGATGTGGCAATATGCCATAAGTTCATTAAGCCATTTGTGGAAGGTGAGCTGAACATGAAGTCAACCAAATTAGGATGTTGAATAGATTGAATGTTATAATAATGACCTCCTTCATAATCTAAATGATGTCTAGATACTGGTGTGATCAGAAACTCACCTGTGTAACATCCGTGAAGAAAAACGAGCGGTCAAGGTCAGGGGTGAGGAGAAAAATAGGAGCACTGGCTGCAATACTACCCGTAATAATATTGGGATATTTAAACCGCATATAGGCACTCAGCATCCCACCATAACTACAACAGAATATATACACACTCAGCATCCCTCCATAACTACAACAGAATATATACACACTCAGCATCCCTTCATCACTACAACAGAATATATACACACTCAGCATCCCTCCATAACTACAACAGAATCTATACACATTCAGCATCCCTTCATAACTACAACAGAATATATACACACTCAGCATCCCTCCATCACTACAACAGAATATATACACACTCAGCATCTCTTCATCACTACAACAGATTATATACACACTCAGTATCCCTTCATCACTACAACAGAATATATACACACTCAGCATCCCTCCATCACTACAACAGAATATATACACACTCAGCATCTCTTCATCATTACAACAGAATATATACACACTCAGCATCCCTTCATCACTACAACAGAATATATACACACTCAGCATCTCTTCATCACTACAACAGAATATATACACACTCAGCATCCCTTCATCACTACAACAGAATATATACACATTCAGTATCTCTCCATAACTACAACAGAATATATACACACTCAGCATCCCTTCATCACTACAACAGAATATATACACATTCAGTATCTCTTCATCATTACAACAGAATATATACACACTCAGTATCTCTTCATCATTACAACAGAATATATACACACTCAGCATCCCTTCATCACTACAACAGAATATATACACACTCAGCATCTCTTCATCACTACAACAGAATATATACACACTCAGTATCTCTTCATCACTACAACAGAATATATACACACTCAGCATCCCTCCATCACTACAACAGAATATATACACACTCAGCATCTCTTCATCATTACAACAGAATATATACACACTCAGCATCTCTTCATCACTACAACAGAATATATACACACTCAGCATCTCTTCATCATTACAACAGAATATATACACACTCAGCATCTCTTCATCACTACAACAGAATATATACACACTCAGCATCTCTTCATCATTACAACAAAGATGATAAGAAGCGATGTCAACTACTGAAGGCAATGTCAGGGCTATCAGTGGCATTAAGATGGATATTGTGTTACCTACCTACCACTGAAGGTACTGACAGGGTAAGCAGTGGCATTAAGATGGATAGTGAGTTATCTACCTGCCACCGAAGGCAATGACAGGGCTAGCAGTGGCATTAAGATTGATATTGCGCTACCTACCTGCCACCGAAGGCAATGACGGGGCTAGCAGTAGCATTGAGTTCAATCTTGAGCTGGGTAATGAGTGTAACATAATCTGCCATGGCCTGCTCAATTGTCAGGAGGCCAATGTAGGGCTGGGTGAATGCCACCTCGGGGTCAAACGGCATAGACTTCCCATAGAAACGCTGAAAAGAATGACAAAAGCTTTCAATCAATGTAAAATCAAAACCACAGACTTAAAACAATCTTCTCTAATTCTCAATACATATGTTAGTAAGAAGGGGGTTTCTAATTTCAATAGCGATATTAATGGTACACTGAAACATCAGAAATATAGTGAACAAGTGATGAGAGGGTGTGATGCCATTGGCTGAGACAGTTATATGCTCGGTGTTGTAGTAATGTTCACTTAACAAATGACAATGCAAAGGAGGTTCCATACACCAGCCAGCATGAAAAGTAGCAATTCCTGATTGTGACCTTATAATTTTGTACCAAAGTAGGAATCACTTACAACATTCTTTCTTTAAAAAAAAAAAAATGTCTCAGTCAATCGGGAAGACTTGGTGGCCATTTTGGATTTTGCCGACCTACATGGGAAATAATATTACTTCTTTGGGACTCCTTAAGGATCAATTATACCAAGTTAGAAGTCAATCAAACCAGCGGTTCTTGAGAACTCATAAATGTCTCTGCAAATCAGAAGCCACAGCGGCCATTTTGAATTTTCCAATCCATGTCAAATACAACATCTGTGCAGGACCTAATGATGAGTATTTGTATCAAGTAAGAAGTCAATGGCATCCGCCGTTCTTGAGTAAAAAATGTCTCAGCCAATCAGAAACCATGGTACCAGTGTTAAAGTCCCATAATCCTTCTAGATTTTAACAGATTCCAATGTTTATTGAATCCATGCAATATCTTGTGTACATAGACTTGCATATCAAATTTGGTGAAGATCTGACTGCACAAACACAGTGTGTGGAAAGTAATGAAATGGTATATTTTCAGCATTCAAAGTTCCATAATACTAGCAAATATTGATGAATGACTGCTTATCAAACTCACATAAGGTCTAATGAATATAGGAAATTTGGAGAACACCCGACAACAAATTCACAAGTCATTTTGCAGAAAGAAATAAAATGGTAAATTTTCGGCATTCAAAACCCAGTAACTTTTAGCAAATTTTCATGCATTTCATGAATCAGTGAACTCATGGGAAATGAAGCCACATACAAAATTTGGAGAAAATTGGACCACAAATACATAGGTTAACATGTGGAAAGAAATACCTACTGCTTAAAGGGCCTTTATTGTTCACCTGGATCTTAAAGCCAAGCACTGGTAAACATGTTTATATGTTGGGTATTTCAAATATTTCCAAATTACAGCTTAGTCACTTATCCTCTTAGGTAGGGCAAAACCAATTGGAAAACTCTTATATCATAAATGTCTTTCTCTTTTAATGCCTATTAAGAGTTTAAATGGTTATCAGATTGGAATCTCAACTGTTTCAAAAATACTGTAGTGAAAATGGGGGGATATTTTCTCTACTGTTGCAAGGTGACATAGACACTGTGAGATCGCATCAAACTCCTGTATCAGTTTGATGTGAACCTGCATGACAACACTCTCCTGACTTCTAACTATCAACGTAGAAAGACAACTCTTCTCCAAACATGTGTAAACTCCACTGTACCACTTGTTGGTTAGGAGCTGGGAGCAACCCTAGAGGGTTAAGTGTGTAACACACTTTGAAATTCTCGACAATATAATCCAGAAATTAAGTCCTTGGAGGTGTGCCACACTCAAGGGTAAATTCTTACAACACTAATATGTTTATCTAATGATGCCCAGCAATTCTATACAATTATGTATATGATTCCATATATGGTCATGGGATGGGGATAAAACCCATATGCTAAGTCCATAGTGGTGGGGCCACAAGGGCTAGTTCTTACATCACAAAGGTGTTTATAACTTGATGCCGATCATTACACAGAAACTAATTCCTGATGGGTGGGGTCACACCCATCAAATATACAAAACTGATTCTCCTTCACCCCAACATACATCACACCACATTTGGGCAAAATCAAATAACTCTCACAAGAGAAGTAGGATTTCAAAGAATTTGCTCTATCTCCCCTATTTGGCCATTCTCCTCCCCTCCCAGGCGGCCAAAATGCACCATTTACACAAAATTGATTCCCCTTCACTTCAACATGATTCAGACCAAATTTGGGCAAAATCTAATCACTTCTACAGGAGTTGTAGTGGTATGGTGAGTTGTAGTGGTATGTGTTGTAGTGGTATAGTGGTATGGTGTGTTGTAGTGGTATGATGTGTTGTAGTGGTATGGTGTGTTGTAGTGGTATGATGTGTTGTAATGGTATGGTGAGTTGTAGCGGTAAGTGTTGTAGTGGTATGGTGTAGGGGTATGATGTAGTGGTATGGTGAGTTGTAGTGGTATGGTGAGTTGTAGTGGTATGGTGTAGTGGTATGATGTGTTGTAGTGGTATGGTAAGCTGTAGTGGTATGGTGTAGTGGTATGATGTGTTGTAGTGGTATGGTGTAGTGGTATGGTGTAGTGGTATGGTGAGTTATAGTGGTATGGTGAGTTGAAGTGGTATGATGTGTTGTAGTGGTATGATGCATTGTAGTGGTATGTGTTGTAGTGGTATGGTGAGTTGTAGTGGTATGGTGAGTTGTAGTGGTAAGATATGTTGAAGTGGTATGATGTGTTGTAGTGGTAAGATATGTTGTAGTTGTATGGTGAGTTGTAGGTATGGTGTAGTGGTATGATGTGTGGTAGTGGTATGGTGAGTTGTAGTGGTATGATGTGTTGTAGTGGTGTGGTAAGTTGTAGTGGTGTGGTAAGTTGTAGTTGTATGGTGAGTTGTAGTGGTATGGTGTAGTGGTATGGTGAGTTGTAGTGGTATGTGTTGTAGTGGTATGTTGTAGTGGTATGGTGAGTTGTGGTGGTATGGTGAGTTGTAGTGGTATGGTGTAGTGGTATAATGTGTTGTAGTGGTATGGTGAGTTGTAGTGGTATGGTGTAGTGGTATGATGTGTTGTAGTGGTATGGTGTAGTGGTATGGTGAGTTGTAGTGGTATGGTGGTATGGTGAGTTGTAGTGGTATGATGTGTTGTAGTGGTATGGTGTAGTGGTATGGTGAGTTGTAGTGGTATGGTGAGTTGTAGTGGTATGATGTGTTGTAGTGGTATGTGTTGTAGTGGTATGGTGATTTGCAGTGGTAAGATATGTTGTAGTGGTATGATGTGTTGTCGTGGTAAGATATGGTGTAGTTGCATGGTGAGTTGTAGGTATGGTGTAGTGGTATGATGTGTTGTAGTGGTGTGGTAAGTTGTAGGTGTATGGTGAGTTGTAGGGGTATGGTGTAGTGGTATGATGTGTTGTAGTGGTATGGTGAGTTGTAAGGGTATGGTGAGTTGTAGTGGTGTGGTAAGTTGTAGTGGTGTGGTAAGTTGTAGTGGTATGGTGTGTTGTAGTGGTATGGTGTGTTGTAGTGGTATGGTGAGTTGGTGAGTTGTAGTGGTGTGGTAAGTTGTAGTGGTGTGGTAAGTTGTAGTGGTATGGTGTGTTGTAGTGGTATGGTGAGTTGTAGTGGTATGTTGAGTTGTAGTGGTATGGTGAGTTGTAGTGGTATGGTGAGCTGTAGTGGTATGATGTAGTGGTATAGTGAGTTGTAGTGGTATGGTGAGCTGTAGTGGTATGTGTTGTAGTGGTATGATGTGTTGTAGTGGTATGGTGATATGTAGTGGTATGGTGCAGTGGTATGGTGTAGTGGTATGATGTAGTGGTATGGTGTAGTGGTATGGTGAATTGTAGTGGTATGTTGTAGTGGTATGGTGTAGTGGTATGGTGAGTTGTAGTGGTATGGTGAGTTGTAGTGGTATGTTGTAGTGGTATGGTGAGTTGTAGTGGTGTGGTAAGTTGTAGTTGTATGGTGAGTTGTAGTGGTATGGTGTAGTGGTATGGTGTAGTGGTAGTGGTGGTATTGTAGTGGTATGGTGAGTGGTATGTGTGTAGTGGTATGATGTGTAGTGGTATGGTGTAGTAGTGGTATGGTAGTGGTGGTATGGTGTGTTGTGGTGGTATGGTGTAGTGGTATGGTGAATTGTAGTGGTATGTTGTAGTGGTATGGTGTAGTGGTATGGTGAGTTGTAGTGGTATAGTGTAGTGGTATGGTGAGTTGTAGTGGTATTGTGTAGTGGTATTGTGTAGTGGTATGGTGTAGTGGTATGGTGTAGTGGTATGGTGAGGTGTTGTGGTATGGTGAGTTGTAGTGGTATGGTGTAGTGGTATGGTGAGTTGTAGTGGTATAGTGTAGTGGTATGGTGAGTTGTAGTGGCCTTTAGAGTATCATACTGGTATATTTCGTGGCCTGATATGATGGTAGTGTGTTTCGTTGATGTGATGACAATGAGATATCAATAGAGTCATTAACTGACTTAGTCAGGCTTTATATCTGTTACTTTGGCCTCCGGCCATTTTATCAGAATGAGGTAAGTTAATAAGCTGACTTGTAACAATATTAGCCAGGCCTCATACAGGGAATCTACAGACTTCCAGAGCCACTACAACAAACAAACGTGTTTACACCACATGCTGTGAGTGAAACTGACCTAAACCCAGTGTGATCTAACCCTAACAAGAATTTGGTGTTACAGCCAAACATTCATCAGCCCTCTCCTTTGAGATTCATACAAACAACTGTGATAAAAGCAGTGGTTTGGGAATTTTAACAATAGATAATACATTTGCGTAACAATATTACTATAATCATAAAAACATCGCTGATAGTATGTTAGCTTGTTGTTGACTAATAAACAACATTAAGATATGTTTTACATCAGATGTCCCATTACATGTCATCTTAAAACAAGTTATACACTCTCATTAGCGTTAGTCACACTACAGACTACAGCCTCATCACTGTTTGTTACACTGCAGGATGTCTCATCACTGTTTGTCACACTACAGGATGTCTTGTCATTATTTGTCACACTACAGGATGTCTCACCACTGTTTGTCACACTACAGGATGTCTTGTCACTATTTGTCACACTACACAATATCTCACCACTGTTTGTCACACTACACAATGTCTAACCACTGTTTGTCATAATACAGGATGTCTCACCACTGTTTGTCACA